ACCCTGAACACTAAACCCTTAACCCTGAACCCCTAAACCCTAAACCCTAATGCCAAAACAAAAACCTTACCACAAGCACCTGTCCTAAACCCTAAACCCTGAAACCCTAAACTGAACCCTGCAAACGCTGCTGCAAGGATCATGAGATTTAGCACGTAGCTCCTGCCCCCATTAGGGGATGTAGAATCCCAACAGGAGCCATCTTACCTTCAAGTGATACATAGAAGCCTGCATAATTACCAACCTTATCAATATGATTCCTGGAGGGTTCCTTTTGTCATGATATTTCCCAAAACCCCTTTCAAATCATTCAGGCCCTTCTACGAAACCCTCATAGTAACCCTTTTCGACCCCTTTACAAAGGAGCCCTATTCTAACGACTAAGGCGCCAAAGGGCTTCAACCCCTCTCCTCAGAGCTAATCCAAGAGGTGCTCCGCTCTTGCAAGCTGGACCAACTCCCGGAGGAAGTGGCAGTTCGTGAGGACGAGACCTGTGAGTTTCAGAAGCTGACGGGGACCTTATTTTGGGGTCCTTATAGTAGGGTACTTTATCTTGGTGTCTTTATAGTAGGGTACTTTATTTTGGGGTCTTTATCGTAGGGTACGAAAAGGAGAGTCCCCTATTTTCGGAAACCCCCACCTGCTGAGCCAGGGTTGTTTTGACACTCACACTCGGGCAAGCGAGCCACGGTTTCGACTCACACACTCGCACAAGGCTGGCATGGCATAGAGTGTCCGAGCTACGGTTAAGTTTGACAACGCCACGTTTCTTGAGGAGTTAGACTCCATCCAAGTTCAGTGACAGGGTTTAGAGCTTGCGTTTCAGGCTTTGCTCCTGCCTTGTTGGTGTCGGTCGCGGGGTAGGGCACTTCGACTCTCGCAACTCGCACACGGAAGGCAAGGCACCCCGACAACTGGTCCAACTAGGTCTTTGGGGCTTCAGAGCTGTGACCTGCTGAGTTCGCCTGTCGTGCGCACATGTCCATGCAATGTTTACGGTCTACGGCATACTTCGCATGACATACACAAGTTTGAGGATTGGAAGACTCCGAAGGGAAAGATTGCTTTAGACTTGGGCTCAGCTTGGATTAGTCTTAACAAGAGTCTTAACTGGATCCAGAAACACCAACAAAACCCAACATATCTGGCAACTCTTCGAGAACGCGGCCACGTCGTTCCACCAAGAGCTGGATTGCCTCGATCTCTGGCGGTGCCGTCCACATCAATCCCAAAACTGCGGTTGATCTTAAGAGGTAGTAGGATTTTTGTAGTAGGGCTGAAAGGAAAAACCAGATGCGGACAACACAAATATCGAAACAGCAGCTGCAGTGGCATTGAGTCAGCTCCGTACGCTTTCGGAGCTGTTTATGCTCCAGTCAACACCTATTCCACAAACGTTGGTGGCTGTCCAGAAGACTTGAAAAGCATCCTGCTTGTGGCTTCGGGGCCAGGTGGCATCCATCAGCTTCATCCGCTCAGTGTGAATCAGGTAAGCAGCACCTTGCACGGTTGCAGCTGCGATGCAGTTCATGTCTGAACCCACTGTCAACGGGCAATGGGAGACTCCGCCTTGCCAGACAGCATTGTGCGGCCCGGGGTCAAGCAGATCGAAACCTAAAGCAGCTAGGCTAGGCTAGCAGCTGCAGATATCTCTTGCTTGTGAACAGGTAAGTCGACCAGAAAGGGCAAGGTTGGAACCACACACAAATGGATTGGTGTGGATTGCCAGCGGGTAGGTCAATGATCGAAAACCAACATCGATAGATGCCTAAGTATGACATGACGGGTGCTCGGCGAGGCAGATATGAAAGAATTAGGGAAAGGCACGAAAACACACAAACACACACACACACACACACGAAAACTCACAAACATACACAAGCACACACGCACGCACAAACACACAGACACCCACAAGCGGACAAACACACACACAGACGCACACTTGCATGAGTGTGTACTTACATGCAATGTGTGATATGTGTACTAACACCACCCAAAGAAACCCAAGCAACCTATGAGACCCCTGCATCACTTGCGGCATCCAAGAGCGGCACATAGGGCGGCGCTCCGGTTCTGGCCGGCTTTGCAGTGAACCACTGTCCTTCGCTTCGGGCTCAATTAGGAGTTTGGGATTTTTGTTGCCTCATACTTGGAGTTTAGGGTTTAGCATGTTGGCTTGGAGGCGTTTGGATCGTTGGTGTGTTGGGCACTCCGAGCGCGTGTTTTCCTTCTTTGTTTAGGGTGCCAAATACTTACGGGCCTGAGGGGCAGTGTGACAGTGTGCTATTACAGCTTGATGCAGAAAAGTAAGCGAGTAAACGATGCCCAGCACTCCCACGGAAAGCCGTTTGCTTTCATACTTATCTACGGACCGACTTCGTAAGATTACCTTTACATGAATACAGATAGGCTTTTGGTTGTGCTTTTGTTGCCAAGCTTGGGTTTTGGGTCTTTTTGCCAGCAGGGTGGAAGGCACGGTCAGTGAACCTGCCAGGGAGAGAACGGCGCACGTTACCTAAACGTTGCTAATGTGTCCCACCTCATCACATGAAAGAGTGGAGGAAGACCCGTCAACCTACAACTCTGATAGCACTTGAGGCCAGCTGCTTGACACCATCTTCCTTGGCTTTCTGGATGAACCTTGGCGCAGCTTGGAACATGCGCTGTGGATCAGGCTTGTTGTGGCGGATTGGCTGCCACTCGGCTGTGCCTCGCGCCATCAAGTGCCGTTTTCTGCAACTTCAAGAACAGATGTGCCAGGCAACATCTCAAACTCACACAGGTGCTTCTCGAGCAAAGGGTACCAGTCATCCTGAGCGACAGTGTCTCGGCAGGCTGCAATATTACACTTCACGTTTAGGGTTTCTTGCCTCCCTCATTGCTTCCAGTGGCAGGTTTATTTTTGAACCACTGGTTTCGTGTCTAGGGTCTATAGCGTGACTACTGGCTGAGGGGACTGCAAGTGAACCCTTACCGCCTTGTAAACGGACACAACCGCTTTCCCAGTCGCATCGTCGGCATCAATGTGGAGAATCCGCATGTCCCCCGCAGGCACCTCCCCACGCGGTGTGTAGATGCCTGGACTGTCTTTGGAGTCTTTCGGTGCCAGATGATGGAAGCACGTATAGCAGTTTTAGTCAAAATGACGGCCGATGTGCCAATGTGAAAGGCACGGCCAGTTCTGACGGCACAACCACTAGCAGCAACATCGGGACGATCTCCGCACTCCACGGCTGTTGCCAAGCTGCACACTGAAGACGCAACATTAGCGATGCCCCGGATTCCGAGCTCCTGCAAAATCGTGGAGCCACAGCCACAGCTCAAGTCTAGACATTGACGAGCCGACAAGCCAGTATGAACTATGAACATCACGTCGGCTTCTGAGCTCTCTGTTATCTGAGGTCCTGCATCTTCTTGCAATCCGTGACATCCTGCATGCCACCCAGGTAGAGGCCCCAGTCCTCAATGGACGAGCTTGGGGAGCTCCGGTACGCGGCACGGGGAGCAGCTGGGAACAAGCGAAGCGAAGTTGAGGGTTACGTCATGCCTCATGCCATGCATCTGTATGTATGTAGGTAAGGTACAGCAAGGCAGGGCAAAGCAACGTAAAGGTAAAGTGAAGTGAGGTGAGATAAGGCAAAGTAGGTAGGTACGTATCTGGCTGTCGATCTAGCTACGTGTCTATCTATCCAACTGTGTGTGTGTGTGTTTTATCTGTATATTTATAGTACCATGCTAGATGGATAGAAAGATAGATAGACAGCTAGCCAGCTAGCTAGCCAGCTAGATAGATAGACAGATAGATAGATAGATAAATAGATAAATAGATAAGTAGATAAATAGATAGATACATAGATAGACGGGTAGATGGATAGATAAACAGACAGATAGATAATAGAAGTATCACTCGTGTAATCCAGAAACCCTCTGAGCACTAAACGAAGGGCCAGGACACACAAAGCTTTGCAGGCTGCTGTTCAGGGCGATGGTAGGCGTCCGCCTGCCGCAGCTGCGCATGGATCCGGTCCTTACCGGCAGGCCAGGAAGGCTCTGGTAGGACTTAACGTTGAGGGTCTCTGTTGGGAGCCCAAAGGCACGTTTGGCCACAGTCTCCGACTCCTCATCGGTTCATCCCAAGATATCCCAAGAATTCAAAGACAGGCGTGGCAGCCGAATCCTCGACTTGCACCCATGTATGTCCGAGCAGAGCAGCAATGACGGGCTTGTCGAGGGCAGGGTCATACGGCATCTCAGTGGCAGGCTCCAGAAAGTTTAGGCTCAACTCAACAGAATATCACTTCGTCCGAAGACTCTCGCGAGATACCCAAATCAGTCTATTGCACCTGCTGTCGGGGACCCTGTATAGCACTTATTTTGCTGCCCAGCCTGTTGCACGCGCGCGTGGCAGGTCCCCATGGCTGCGCTGGCTACGCACAACTTTTCTTGCGTATGCTTCAAGACAGCCTTGAGCCGATGTATTTCGGCTAGCCGTCCCGCTGCGACTCGACGTTGGATGTGTATTATATATATATATATATATACATATATATATATATATTAAACTATATGATATATATATATATATATATATACATATTTATACTATATACTATATACTATATATCATACAAATATAACATGATGTAACAAAATATAACATAATGAAATATACTGCAATATAATATAACATAGCATAATAGCCAATACACTATAACAGAATAGTACGTAATATAACATAATATTATGAAATACATAATATTATAATACAATATATCGTAATATAATATAACATGAAACAATGATATGATACAACAAATATGTTTATTCGTGTTTATGTGTATACATGTGTATGCCTATATACATAAAAAAACGCATTTACATATACATATAAACACACATACAAATCAATAGATGGACACGTATGATCAGATAGATATATACATATACACAAACATATGTGTATATATATATACATATGTGTGTGTGCGTGAGCGTGTGTGTGTGTGTGT